AAAATAACGCGAATGAATTAGGGCTGTAAGGTTTAGGGACAGCAGACAATACACACACATGACATTTTGCTGTAAAACAACATTTTTGTTCAGGGAACTCACCAAAATGTGGATTGTTATTCACAATGTGTTAGGAAGTAATTTATTACGATTATATTTAGTATTCGAACAAAGATTTATCTTACTTTTTTGGTTATCAGGCTCCACATTACTAGGTTTTCTGTTTGAAAAATTACAGTTTTTGCTGGCAGCATTACAATACCTTTCTCTATACTATGTATGTAGGTGCAGTTATAAAAAATTGAATTACTATTTGCCTATAAGTGTGTACCTTTAAAAGTAATACTTCGTGTTAAATAAATATTTATTATTTAATCTGTGAAAACTTTTGCAGATATTACCACAGTATTTTTGATGATGCAAAAGCTCTAATTATGGAGTATCCAGATGGAAAATATGCCATTCACCAGAATTCTAATCCAAGCTTTTGTGGCAAAATGTATCAACTACTCTTGGACACCACATTGTATAAAATGTGATGGGGAAAGACATACACAGAACAGTAAAGCGAGTAATTAATTGCTGAGCGTATACATTTATGTACTTACTTGATCTGTGTAAAGGTTTAAATTTGATCTACTGGCTATTTTTGATGTTTTTTATGAAGAATTGTTTAAGTTGAAAATGTGTTGAAAATTAACTTTAGTAGACTGTTGTGGAATCTGTTAATACATATTAACTTAATTAAATATTTGTTGTTTTAGGTGGATGAAATATTGCATTGTACTTGAAAAAAATGAATTGTTCGTTATTTCAACAAGCATCGTTCAATATGAGTGCTCCCAATGATGGCCTGCTGCTTGTATGTTGGAGTTACATTCATGGCGGGGCCTAATTATCAAATAACATTCTCTTACTGCTGTCAAACCCTTGCATACCTCACTGGAGGATTTTGTTAATAAAACTGAAAAAGACTGTGTGGAATAACCATTACAAACAGGTAAGATTTATTTAAATAGAATTTATACAGACTTGGGTGAAGCTGTGTGATTACATTTCACAGAAGCAAGAGCTGTAGAAAAATTTACAACAGAAAAGACTGCATAGTCCATGAAATGCACAGGTTCATGTTTTTACCAAACACTTTGGATATTGTTTGTCCTATGAAAGTAATCTTTCCTTAATGTAATGATGGAACTTTTTAAGGACTTCACGGAATATAAATGGCCCATGAAGTTAATTGCATTTTACGCAGCATAAAAGGGAATCTCTTCCAACCTGGAAATGGAATGGTTTTGTATGTCTTGTAGAAGGGAAAAATCTTTATAAAGCGGAATTCCGGTGAATTAACGCCAATTGTAGCCCAAGAGATGGTGAGATGTTCTTAATGAAATGAATGCTCTGCAGCTTGTTTTGGATTCTCAATCCCTTGGACATGTGATTTAGACAATGCAGTGGATTTGAAGGAGACAGCTTCAGCTTTTCTCAAAAAGGAATCAACCACTCAAGCGCGTAGGTAGGTGTAGGCCTCCCAGATTGAACCTCCCCTAAACCCGCGAATTTTGTTCGCCCAATTGATTCCTGCTTAGACAGATTAAATAAAATATGGTGTGACAAATATATTTTTTATTCAAACTTTATATGAAAATCTTTATTTCTGGCATGAATTCAGTGGGTATGTATATTCCAGTGTTTGTCACCACATATCCTATGCCGTATTGTAGGCTTACAACAGTCTGCATAAGCAGTTAACACAAAGAAAAAAGAAATTAAAAAATTAATAAATAGTACATCACCAGCAGCAGTGGCTCACGGTAGGCGCATTGGAGCCAGCGGCTGCTTTTAAGCAGAACTGATGATTTATTTGTTTGTACATTTACAATGCAGTAACACTGATAAGGTTGACAAGCAAATGCAAATAGATTGAAAAAAATGTATAATAGTAATTATTAAAATCTATAGTATTATTCTATATTATATGTAACGAATAACTCCAACTCCAACTATGATATAACGTCCAACTATGCTCGTTTTAACATGAATTACATGTTACTCTCCTCTCTGGAAACCTGGAAAATGCTAATGATCTTATGTTTCCACATCTAAGAAAAATTCCCTCAAATTCTCATTAATTGAAAAAAACAAACCTCGCATTGTTCCATCTGTATTAACAATCAATGTATTAACATCGATGTTTTTTCTTTTCGATGTTTTGGTTTCCGAATTGAAAAATTCCCATGATTACAATACTGTAAAAGTTTAAAAAAATGGTAAGTTGATAGTAACACTGTTATGCAATGGGGAATAAAGGGACCGCTGTTTTGCATACCTTCATCGACCAACCAACAACTCACGCCTGGAATGACCTCTATTGCCCTTGTATGCCTCTTTCTTCATATTTATTTCGCACAGTGAGATATGGCCCAACAAATATGCTGTGGGCATAGGGGCTGCCCCTTCTCGTACTCTATCGGTGAATTGATAAACACGAAGTGTCAAATTAAAATTTAATGGCACATGAATTGATATTTGAGGCCTATTAACCAGTCTAAAACCCATCAATGGTTTTTAGTCAATGTATTTTTAGCATTGATATTCTAATTTTAAAACATCAAAGTTTTGTATTGAGATCGTATCACTAGTAGGGACCCCAGAATTTAAAAAGTGTTCTGAATACATCTTCTTTCCCATAGTGCACACACAGTTCACAGTTTTTTAAAACAATAATGAATAATAAATAAGTAATAAAAATAAATAAATAAATAAATAAATAAATGTATATAAGTAAATAAAAGAGAGTAATAAAAACTAAGCCTCGTAATGGTTCCATGTGTAGAGTCCCCAACAAGAGAAGAATTAAAAGAAATTTTCACACAGGTCAGCTCATCAAATGAGTTGCCAGGAACAGGCCGGCAACTCTCTATCAAAACTGGCGGACAAAGCTCCGAGGTTGCTACTTATAGGAAGCCTTAGTGTCGCCAGGTGCAGCTGCAGGTAGGCTCGCCAACTTTCCAACATACAAAATTGCCTAATTATGTGAGAAATACGAAAAGTGTCATATAAATGTAACATTATTCATAATCGTATACGTTATAAGAAACCTCTGAATTAAGGCGCGAATATAGACGTTAATCTTTTATAACATTATGGGCCTGCTTCGTGACCGCGAACTCGACTACAGAAAACCGCGTACGTTTAAAGATCGTGGTGTAGTTCGTGTTTTAGTTCGTGTAAAGAAGGGATGCAGGCAGAGCGTGCCACCATAATGCGTCTCCACCACCGTTATATGGCGAGTTATAGGGCCCGTGCAGAAATTCAAAAACATAAGTTCAAAAGTAATTAAAATGAAACAAGATATTTTTATATACCACACTTCATTATATACAAGAAAAAAATTAAAGAAGTATTGTTATTAAGAAAAAATATTGTTTAAAATGGTTTTAAAAGCGCGCCATGTTCACACAAAATCACCCAATATTTCAAGTAAGCACTTCAATTGTTGAATAATAAACCACCTTATTTGAGATCTGTTCGTGATGAACACATTCATCTAGGGAAAAAAGCCTCTATCTTCAATATTTTAGTTATAGGAAGACACTGATCAAAAATTGAACTTTTGCGATTTTTCGAGAAAAATTTTGTGATTTTACATAAATGAGACCTGCACCATTCGTTAAATGTTCCTTCACAAGTAACCAACTACAAAATTTAACTTAAAAAAGTTTATTTTAGTATTCCGGGGGGGGTATGTAAGGTACCTCGAAAATTAAAATGTAGTGTTCAAATTCAAAGGCCCACGAATTAGCCAGCATCCAATTGGGAAAGATCAATTTTGGAGAACATTGGCTGAACAGTTTAGCCGCGTGCCG